CTCCCACAGACAAAGATTCACCGTGAAACCTTTTACAGACTGTTGGGGAAAATACTGATGTTAGCGATCCTCTATGAAGGCAGGGACAACACTTGATGTTGACACACCACATTATGTACCCAAGTCTACACTTGCACAGCACATTCTTCAACAACCGCCGTTTGCCACTAAGTAGTGGAGACATCACCCTGTCCTTCTGTACCACATCAACCCTTCTCCTCTCTAGCCTGTATCGCGCCCATTTAGCCTCCTCTATCTGGCCAAACAAGCTGTTTAGACATGCGGGCTACATGACCCAGCCAACGCAGCCTTGCTCATATACCACACACACACACTCCACTCGCACACACCCCACAGTGGGGATACACGCTCACACAGATATCCGAACTGTGCGTTTGTGTGCGTGTGGTCCATGTAGGCTGGGATGACCCCCATGTGCCAGGCGAGGGCGCTGCAGCTTCTCTTTGACCTGCGCTTCATGCACGGCGTGCTGGCGGTTCGACCCGAGGGGACGCGCGGTAGCAGTGCCGCTGCTCGGGGGACCCCTCTTCACGCGAGGCACGTATGACCCCCCAGTGTGAGGACTGGGGCCTTCTCATTGCAGACCCTTGGCCTGAGCACAGAAAATGCTTGTAAAGTCCAGTAGGCAGCGGTGGTATCAGGATCCGAATGCTGTACGAAGTTGAAGTAAACACGAGAGTGCTCGTGAGATCACAAATCTGTGGGAGTGGCAGCAGTCGCTCGGGATGACATTACACCCACTGCACTGGCCAACCACCTGCCGGTGCCGCTCTGCAGAATACAGGCCGTGGTGGACGACCTCGAGAGCCACGTGGACCCGTTTGACCTGGACGTGTTCACCCCACACCTCCACCTGCACCTCCAGAGACTGCTGCAGCGCACCAATGTATGACGCATGCATGTGCATACACACATGCATATCCCACTCTATGATCAGAACGTCGTGTGACGTTTGTGCAACGTTCATGCGATGTTTGCGCGCGCACGTACTGCAGTACGACCACGTGAGGAGCGGTGGTGCACTGGTTAGCACACTGCGCTATGAACCCAGTGACCCAAGTTAAAATCTCGATCACAGGTCACCATCATCAATGACAAATAACTGAAACGGTCCTGGGTCTCCCCTAGATCAACTCTGCCTTAAACGAGTACCCCTTGAGTTGTGTAAACATTAACATTGGTGTCGTGCTGGCCACCCACTCACTCGTTATTCTGGTCTTCATAGGTGTTTGCTAACAGCACTTGAAGCAGTCTGTTAAGGCAATATGGAGGTATCATTTCCTCTGTGAGTGTGGTCACCATTATCTCCACATTGCTCACATTTGCACACAGCACCAAGGCTGAGTTAACATGTTTAAGGCAAAGATCTGGTTTAAGACCACTTGGAAAGATATTGGCTATAGCTGGGAATTGAACGCTTGTTATTTCAGCATTTTTAAAACTGCACCATTGTATTATAATGACACGCACGCACACGTGCACACTCGTTTGTGCCTCTCAGCCATGTTCGGCACCAATGACATGAGTCCCAACCATCAGGGCTGCAGTGCTGGTACAGCTCGAGGTGCAGGAATGGCGATTTTGGACTTGAAGCAGGGCAGGTTGCGTAATCGTTGCTGTCGAGCGTTTGCCACCACGAGCTGGTAACTGTGTGGTGGTGGTGGTGGTGATGCCTTCCAGGTGCTGTTTGGTGTCCTGACGGGCACCGAGAGGCAGTACACAGGACGCCCGGCCCCGTCGGGCCCTGAGGCCCCCAGCCTGCTGGCGATGGCCGCCACGCATGCCAGGTTTGCCCCCCGTGCTGTGCTTGAGGCGCCGTGACGCGCCCTCAGCGTGGTGTTGAGTCCTGGCGCTCTCCTGACAGCGGGGAGGCTCTTGCGAAAGCACCGCCGTGTTTCACCCGCGCAGGCTGCGGTGTTTTGCCACAGGTGGCGATGATTAGCACAGTTGGCTACATACGGTGCGAAAGTTCAACATACATACAACATGCGTGGTAATATCATCGACGATTTGCACCGTCTTCTAATTTATGCATGGCACTGTAGCATGCGTCTAAATTATACAAATTAATGAAATATAAATGCGCACACATCATCATACAGTGCATGAAACAAGTGGCCTTAACTGGCATATGCATGCAGTACAAACGTACAAAGGCGCTGCATTCTTTGGAAATGGTTGACAGCTGTTGAGGGTTAAAAAGAAAATGAATCACAAAAGTGCATCCCACTATACTCTTGTTGGTGACCCCTCATATGCATTCGGCCTGCAGCCTACAACATGCCATTTGGTGTGTCTAGCCCATTTCATACCTCTTATCAGTGCATCCCGGATTTGCCAGCAGATTTGCCAAATGCGGACTTTGACAATGGTTGACAGTGATCCACTCCACAGGATCTTTGACACCCGCTGTAATACGGACAGTTGTGTGTATTTTATGACAGTTAAATAAGCAAGGCCTGTACCACGAGGAGGCCTGTATCCACTGGATCCCAGGATTTGTAATGAAATAACGCAGCTACTAACAAGGGCATTGAGCTCATTCTGTCACTGTGATAGGATCTGGATGCATGGCTTGGTAGTCGAGCAAGTGGTCGCGAGTTCAAATCCTTGGTTTGGGAATGACTCGGTCTATCATGGCTCTGGGGTAAGTAAAATGAGTGCCCCTTAGTTGTGAAGTCAACAGTGTTTGTCCTATGGTTAGACTCGCCCCCACCATATGAATGTGGATTTAGCACTACTGGCTCTGGGCTGACTTCCTAATAATTGGAATGGTAATACGGAGTGTGGACGTTGCGTCGCGGTAAAGGATTGTGCGTAACTCGGGGGACTGGGCCATCGGCTCGTGTGGTGGTCTAGGTTTGCTCTGCTGCCCCTGCCGGCCTCCAGGTTGGCCTCCCAACGCAGGGCCACCCCGCCAGTGAGAAGGGGGCCAGCCACAGCGCAAGCACCGGTGAGGGTGCACGCTCACCACCACCTAATGCTCACCATTGCCCAGCACGGTCACCGCCCAGCACCCTCACCACCCAGCACCCTAACCACCCAGCACCCTCACCACTCAGCACACACGTATGCACACGCACGTGCACACTACAGCTGACTCGGTGTGGGCGAGCGCCTCTCTGTCCCTGTTGTCATTTCCAGTGGTGTGAGGAGATGCCAGGCTCCGAGCCAGCCGGGCGCTCGGGGAGCTGACAGGTACAGCCCGGTGTGGGGCATGCCGTGTGTACCGCCGTGGTGTGCTGGCCGGCCAGGTGCAGTGGCGAGGGCCTCTATTTGCTTGTATCGGTAGCACTTTGACGTGACACTAGCCTTCAGGACATAGTGGCGGTTGCGCATGCAGGAGTAGGGAAGGGGCTTTTCGGAGCTTCTTGGGGCTTCTTTGAACTTCCTGCCCGGCGCCGGCTCTACCACTCGTTCTGCTGTGGGGTGACGAGGATTCGGCCGCAGACAACGCTGGGTTCCGTGTGTGAGCGGTGTTTGTGTGTGTGCGTGTGTCAGGTGGAAGTGTCGCTGGGAGGCATGCAGGGGGTGGACACGCGTCCGCCTGGGGCCTTATTCAGGCAGCTCGCGTCGCACGACGAGGGCTCTCAGCCTGGGTCGTCCCTCTTCAAGCTCGGCTGGCTGTCAGCCATCACCAAATGAGCAGCGGATCCGCACGCACACACACACGGCAAACAACCAGCACTCTCCACCGAGTCAAGGTGGCGCTAACAAGGGCTCCGGACTGGCTCGGGCCACCTTGGTTGCGGAAGCACCAGCATATGCGGGGTGTTACTCTGCTTTCGGTTTACAGGCACAGCGATATTACCGGGCAGGATAATCCTTGAGTGTCATGTCAGGGCTGTTGGCCCGTAGCAGCAAACACCCTGCGTGGGTTTTCCCAAACAATGCACAATGCTTGCGTTGGAAATCTGATGGAGGAATTCCACCTGTAGTGTTTGTGCAGCTGACCACATCACTGTGGGAGGAGATGGTGGTGAACAATCTGCTCCTCTTCCCTCGCATAAACACACAAGGTTTGGACTTAATAGAGTCTGTTGTGGAGTCATGGCGGCCTCCTTTTCAAGTAGGTTTCCCTATTTAGCCATGGGTCGATCTGGGTCGGGTGGCTGTAAAGTTTTTGTTTTGGTGGTGGAAAAAATAAATGAAATCTGTGAGTGCGTATGTGGAGGATGTACTACCCTGTTCTGCGTCGGTTTCCGTTGGGTTTCATTCTATAGCTAAAACAATGTAACTCGTCCATAATATAGGTTTTTTTTTTTATTTGGGTTCGATCGTGTAAATATAAATGTGTCGTTAACCCCGCCACCAACTGAACATGCCAATTCGTTACTATTACAGCACACCGGTGTGTTGGAGAGCAAATCCACAACATTTACAATCCGAATACGAAGTTTCTCCAGTAATTACAACTAGCTTCATCAGGCGACAGCCAGATTTGTGGAGAAATCCTGTTTCGGTCCTTAAATGGATATAGATGTGATGACGTCACGTGTGAGCCCTTCACAAGCGAAGAGGGGGGGATCCATTAATGCACAAATTATAATGGGTATTCATTGCCGGCTGGATTAATCATATGGTAACGTACATTATGCATGCATTTATATAACTGGTATTCACCAAACATGCCAATGATAGATCCACATCACACTGAGAAGTGCAGGTGATACGGTTGCGAAGAGCGAGTTTGCGCATCCCCATCAGTGATGACGCGCGCACGTGGGACGCACGCCTGAGACGTGAAGCGTTCTCCAGACGATTCCTCCTCACATCGCGGGAGATTCTTCTAGGATTCCTGCGTCTTGTGAAGTGATTTCCCGCTCGCTTGAGCATCGAGGTGGTGCTAATCTGTGTATATACCTGAGCCAGGGGTGGATATTACACATCCCTTTGGCGGTGGGGGGGGGTAAGTCGATATTTAAATCAGTGTATACAGAGTGGAATACACATTTGCCTTCAAAAGTTCGCAATCACCTCCTTGCCACATATATCCCTATGAAAAATATAAGTATTTTTTCCACCCCATCAGCAGCAATAGGTGCAACGCGGTTTCGACATTTCATTTCTGATGAGGAGTAAACTTATTTTCGCGTCCTCACAGGTTGCACTAATTTAGGATGAAACTTTAGAGCAACTGATTCCGTGAAGTTGTTGTTGTGCAAGACGGAGCAGCGGCGGTGATGGTGGCGTGAGGCGTGAGCTCGGGGCAGGCGTGGCCCAGCTCCCGGCTCCTCCTCCACCGCCCCGGGTCCCGGGTCCACGGCTCCCCGAGTCGCCCCCTTGGTTCGGGGTCTCGGCTCTGGGGGTCCCGAGGTCGTGACTGCCGCCCCGACGTTCGCGCGGCCCCTGGGCCGAGAGGCGGCCTCCTCGGGGTCCGGGGCCAGCGGGAGGGCGGGCGGGGAGGCTGCTTCGGCATCGACATCGCCCGGCAGCGCTTCTATCCGAGCGCCGAGGCCGCGGCCTCGTCACGGGCACCATGAGCGGTGAGGGACAGGGGGACGGGGACAGGGACAGGGGGGACAGGGGGACGGGGACAGGGGGACGGGGACAGGGGGTGGGACAGGGACAGGGGGGACAGGGACAGGGGGTGGGACAGGGGGACAGAGGGACAGGGACAGGGGGTGGGACAGGGGGGACAGGGGGACAGAGGGGGGGGGACAGGGGGACAGAGGGACAGGGACAGGGGGTGGGACAGAGGGACAGGGGGACAGGGGGGGCAGGGGGACAGGGACAGGGGGTGGGACAGGGGGACAGAGGGGGTGGGACAGGGGGACAGAGGGGGTGGGACAGGGGGACAGGGGGACAGAGGGGGTGGGACAGGGGGACAGAGGGACAAGGGGTGGGACAGGGGGACAGAGGGACAGATGGACAGGGGGACAGAGAGACATGGACAGGGGGGACATGGAGAGGGGGACAGGGGACAGGGACAGGAGGACATGGACAGGGGGACAGAGGGACATGGACAGGGGGGACAGGGGGACAGTGACAGCGGCAGTGACCGGGCCAGGGGTCTGACACGGGGACGGCACTGGACAGGGGAAGAGACGGGGACTGTGGGGATCAGGGGGACAAGAGGGTGGACTGACAGGGGATGGGACTGGGCAGAGAGGCGGCGATGCTGCCCTCGGGTACCCGGCGTGGAGGCGCCTCGGCCCGAAGCGATGTCGCGGCGCCGTGAGCAGCAGCAGCAGGACGACAACAACAACAACAACAGGGGGAGGAGGAGCAGGGTATGCGGACACAGCTGCAGGAGACCTTTGGTAGAGGTGGTGGTGGTGGACGACCAAGGTCAGGAATGGTGGTGTTGACATGGAGATGCGAGAGAGATGTTGAAAGGGTTATGGGTTTGGTAGTTACAGTAACACAGGGCGAATGGCAGTGAAAGAGACTCAAGGATTGGAGGTGATTGATGCCAGAGAGGAATATTGATTTGTGTGGATCGTGGAGGGGTGGTGATGAAGTCGGATGAATGGTTGTGAAGGACGTTGATGGGTGGAGGTGTGGGGTGGATGGTGTTGGGGTAAGGCGGGTTGTGGATGGATGAGAAGCGATGGTGATCGTGGAAGAGTGGTGGGTGATGGTGATGAGGGCCAATAATGAGGGTTGTGCTACAGGATGGATGGAGTGGTGGTGGTGAACTGATTTTGGTGGTGGGGATGTAGGGAATGTAACCACGAGAAAACGTCCTGTTGACACTGTTACCTCGACAGCTTCTGGGCATTGCTTCAGACTTGCTTCAGACTTGCTCATGAAGTCCGTGGCCTCACCCACGCTGGGCACAGGGTGGAGAGCGAATGCTGGTTCTGATTCAAGTCGAGCACTCTATTGACGCGGTGCCGATATACAACACACGTGGTGCACAGGCCCGGCGGGACGGTGGGGGGCATTGTAGCTGTAGTGTGGGGGGCATTGTAGCTGTAGTGGGGGGGGGGGCATTGTAGCTGTCTGGGGGGCATTGTAGCTGTTGTGTGGGGGGCATTGTAGCTGTAGTCTGGGAGGCATTGTAGTTGTAGTGTGGGGGGCATTGTAGTGGGAGGGGGGGCATTGTAGCTGTAGTGTGGGGGCATTGTAGCTGTCTGGGGGGCATTGTAGCTGTAGTGGGAGGGGGGGGCATTGTAGCTCTCTGGGGGGCATTGTAGCTGTAGTTTTGGGGGGCACCACGACAGTGGTTTACACCGCGTTCAGCGGAGTAGACTCGAGTGGTGCAGTGCCGGCCCAGGCCGTGGCTGGTGACGGTGGCGGTTGTCAGGGCTCGTGCAGCACTCGAAGTGCCCTCCTCTCTTCCTGCCGAGGAACACGTCGTGAATCATTACGGTTGTTGACACGCTGCTGATGATGCTCCTGGCGTGAGCCTGAGCACGGCTTAAAGTCGAGTCATCTGTCTGTTACTGATTTTTGTTTTTAAACAGTCCCTATTCATCTATTTCCACATTTGCCGTGTAAACAACATGGAACTGTTTGGTCGATGGTCCGTGTTTATGTGTTTTCATGTGAACATAACACGAGTCGTGGTTTACAATATAATAATCTAATGACTCACCGCCGTACAGTCCTCACTTTGGACAAGAGAGAGAAATTAAAGAGAGAGAGAGGTGCGAAGAGGAGCCATAAACAAGCCAAAAAGCCATCGCCTAGGTGGTAGCCAACGCCATTATTCCCCCCAAAGCCCTCCATTCCTCGATATTGAGGTGTTATCGGCCAAATGTTTTGACATGTGGAAGAAAAGTAAAGCACCCAGAGAAAACCCACGCTTGCGAGGTTCCAACACTCTACGCATATGGATGGAAGAGGTTATGATTACAGTATCGTAACATTTCTTGGATCATTACTCTCTGACAATACTTCGGAATTCCTCACCTCTTGTTTCGTATCGCATTCCTGTCTTAATATCTGGCATGGATCGCCCCTCTATAAAATACACATTCGGGCCCATGAACATGGCCTGTGAAGCTTGGCATGTACATAAAGCTCACTGCACATTTACAAAGAAAATATCACTGGTGCAGCCAACAGTAAACCCATCAGGTTATTGTATCATAGCCTAGTTTTTTGAAGTTTTTTTTTATGTAAGTTTACGATGAATACAGAACGGTCGTGTTTGAGACGCGAGAATGTGACGGTCAGTTGGTTCCATGTCACGCAGGCGTCCACAATGAGAATGAGCGGCAGGCCCTGCTGGACCGGTTGCTGGACGCCGTGAAGCAGGTGAGAATCTCGCGTGCCCCGCACGTGTGGAACGTGTCGGGTTTTGTCGGTTGCGACAGAAGGCCTCGCTCAGGAGGGCGGCATGGTCTGTGCATCTCCATGGAGACGCAGCCGAGGCGGCACCTCGTGTCGTCTGCCCACGGAATCCGGAGCAGTGGCGCTGGAATCGCGTTTTCAGATGCCTCTTAATCCCTGGCACTGTTTACTGGCCCAGCAGTGACGTGTTAATAAATGACATGCATATCCTTTGGGATTACACAGAGCAACATCGCCCCCTACTGTGAAACTATCGCAGACTGGGTCCATGATCAGCTTGCGCGAAGAGAATTATGGCACCAACAGCAAATGTATTAAAATCTGCTAAATCTCATGCGTGCCAGTTGTTGCTGTGTCCTGGCAGCGTCACAAGGAGTTGTGCTGCCAGAAGACCGCTGTAAAGCATCACGTGGCAGCGAGAGCCAGTTTTATTATTTGTGCTTGCGCGTGAGCCCAACAGCCACTGCCGGTCATGTGACTCCGCTGTTCACAGTCGTGCTAGTCACATGCTCCCAGGTCATCAAGTTTCCCTGCAAATGCAGTTTTTTTTCGTTTCTTTTTTTCATTTTTACAGAAAGTTACCAAAGGTCACGCCATTGTAATGTTGGTCGTGACGAGGAGTACATTTTTGCCTGGTGGCTATGTGCGATGAATTGTTGCTGAAACCATGCGGGTATGTGAGGGGCTGTTGGTCGTACCGGGAGTTCGGTGCGCGGTCCCAGACTGCTTCACCGCAAGCGCCCGTCATCTGTTTATGTTTTCCAGTGCCAAATACGCTTCGGAGGGAAGAAGGAAATTGCCTTCGACTCAGACAGCAGGTATTTAAACTCCAAACAATCCGTGAATACATTATCACGGAAATTATATTTCAAATCAAACATCCCTCGATGCATTATTCCATCAAACTTGTCCTTCCCTGATTTTCTTGCACCTGTGGAGATCTATCAACATCATCGTGCAGTGCTCATTCCATCCCCTTGTTCCTCACTGTGTACGTAAATAACCAACATCCACATGCATAGCTAACCGTGCTAATTGGAGGTGTGGGAACGCACCTATTTCCACTGAATTGTTTGGCACGCTTTCCCGAGATGAACATATTTAACACGGAACTACAGGTCACAACAACACACTCGCCTACCCACTCACCACACTCATCACAATGCTGGTCACAACACTTCGTTTTCGGCTAACAACCTGGCTGTCTTCCTGTTTGTCGGTGGTTCCTCAGTGACTGTGAGATGCAATTTGCATGAACGGTCCTGTATAGATCTAAACATTATTACTATTATAAAGTGCTGTGGCCTTCTCGCTCGTGCTCTGCAGGGTGACGTGCCTGTGTGCCCAGTTTGAGGCGGTTCTGCAGCACGGCCTGCGGAGGGGCAGCCGTGGCCTGGCACTCACGGCCGCTGCTCTCAAGCAGGTCACGGGCATCGGCGGCAAGATCGAGCCCGGTACTGCCTAGCACAGCGGTGCTGCCACCGCCATCAACAACACTCACCATCTTCCTTACAGTCATCACCACTACTTCAACAACATCCTCACCATCTTTCCTGCAGTCACCATCATCAATACAATATGGATTTATGTGGCTACTGTCTTCATCGCCACCATCAACACCATCAACACCATCATCACAACTATACCAATAACCTTCCTCGCCGGTTACTCCAGCCACTAGAGGCGTCGCCATCGTCACACGATCGCCGGGCTGCCACAGTCCTGACATGCGTGTCGTTCCATTGCCCGCAGAGCCGGTGTTCTGGCACTTTGTGCGCGAGCAGCTGGGCCGGCACGAGCTGCAGCGCTACCTGACACTGCGTGCCATTGGCACGGACGCCGGGAGGGGCCGCGCGTGGCTCCGCTCGGCGCTCAACGAGCACTCGCTCGAGCGCCACCTGCACACTCTGCTCGCCGAGCGCCAGCGCATCAGGTGCGGCGGCTTCCGGCACGAGCGTGGGCACGCACAGGGACGCGAGCTTGTGTGCCCTCCCGGACTTCATAGTTGCTCACTAACAGCACTTAACCCCAACAGACTGATAAAGGGTACATGGGGGATTTTTGTCTCTGAGTTGGTGTAAAAACTGCATAGCCGTAAATGAATGGTTTTGCGCAAGAATGAGCGAGATGGATTGCGGTTTCGCAGAACCATGAGGGATGGCAATGATATGGGAAGGTCTTCATCTCGCAGTGGCTTGAGCATAGCTGATGGTGGTGTGTTTGTGTGGTGGCCTGTTCAGTGAGTGCCTGATTGAGAGAGCTGGCTGTGCTGTATGTGTTGTGATGGTCGATGGCTGCTGGTGACCCACTCAGCCTGAGCCCTGCCACTTTGTGCCCACAGCCAATTTTACGAAGACTGGGCCTTCCTCCTCGACGATGAGCGGTCGAGCATGCTGCCCGTCATGTCAGCAGGTCACTGCGTAACCCACCCCTCACGGCCGCACCGTGGCCTCTTATGCCCGCGGGTTCTCAGCTGCAACCCTATTGGGTGACATCTCCGTGCCACCCACACGAGACACAATTTCCTAAACGTGCAAATTACTCCATTGGGAGTGCACGTTGCAGTCATTGCCCCCTACTGGCATGCTAATGCCCATGTGCAGGCCGGCAGTGAGTCATATTGTGCTGCACAGGTACAGATTCTACTGGGGGTGCCAATGGAATGTTTGAAATAAGATCTGTGATGTAAGGTGCTTTGAGATGCCCAGGCAACACTATATTGGCCAGGCAGTGGTGACTATGCTCACTTGCTTACTTGAGTCGGGACGTCACCCGCGGCGTCGTGGAAGGAGTGTCGTTGCACTCGTGTCATTCCGCAGGCCTCAACTCCATTGTGTTTGCGATCAACATCGACAACGAGGACCTGAACGGCGGCCTGGGGGTGTCGCGGGGTGCGCCCACGATGTCGGGCCTCCTGCGGGAGTCGACGCAGAGCGTTACCTCCCTCCTCAGAGACTCGTCGCTCACACACGTGCGTGTTTGCTAATATTTATTATTATGATTTTATCACCATCACTTTTATTCGCGTCGGCACTCTGACCGCGACACAGTCTTCGCTGCGATGATGATTGGTAGGCCATCGTTAACGCGTGTGTATGCGTGCGCATGCGTGCGCCATGCAGGGTGTGAGCAGCCTGCTGCGTGAGATCTCCGGTCCCGGGGGTCCCCGCACGTCCGGGGGGGCAGCTGTCGTGCCCGTGGCCTCCGCGCGGGACACGGCCCTCTCGGCGCATGACCCTGCCCCCGTCATGTCTGCTAGGGTTGCAGGTAGCTTGGCGACAACACGGTGCGGCCCCCCGGTCTTGCAAGCACGCCCGCATGCACGCACGCCTGCACAGCCGTCTGTGCGCCAGCGGGGCTGGTAATTCTGCGACGATGACACCGTCCTGCGTTGGGGCAGTGTCGTGGCCCAGCGATAGCGCCTTCACTGCCTGTTGCACAGTTTCGCCGTTCTAATTTGGTAGGCAGCCCTTGTTATTACTATGGGTGTATTAAACGTAAAATACGACGCATCGCCTTGCTTTATGATGGCCCTGCGCCATGAGAATGGTGCGGACACCATTGGGACTCGATCATCATTCAAACATTGCCTTGGTCAGATGTCAAGAATCGCAAGGAACGAAAGAAGCGATCGAAGAAGCCGGTGACGAGCATCATCTCTTTTGATGACGATGATGCGGAGGAGCGGGAGAGGAGGGGAGAGACACAGCTGGAGGAGTGGAGCGGCCGGCATGACGATCCGCCTGAGGTCCCTGCTGCGGCGTCCCACACGCGGTACGGGCTCACGGGCAACGATGGGACAATCTCGTGGTTATGGGCCGTTTGCGACCAAAGATGCTGCCCTTGTGTGAGATATAAACGCAGCGAGATAATTGCGGTGTTATTGGTGGCAGATTCAGTCCGGATTCGGCCTTTGACCCGGCTCCCTGGCACCATGGGGAGGCGGTGGAGAACGGCGTCACTGACAGGAAGCCGATGGCCGACGAGGACGAAGAGGAGGAGGACGATGATGACAACGCGGACGAGGTCTATGGGAAGTCGCAGCCGGCCCGGAACGGTGATGGCCACGCAAAACTCGACGGGGCCTACAAGTGAGACACCGCCCACGGTGCCCGTACGGCACCGCACTCGCACCGACACGACAGCCACTGACACTCGACGCGGCGATAGCTGTTGTTGACGCCCGTCGGTAACGCACGGGTGCCGGTGGTGCAGGCCCCTGCCGGAGTCGCCCGTTGGCTGGAGTGCCCTCCAGGTGTTCAATGACAATGACAGCGGGGAGCTGCTCTTCCCACTGCAAGCAGGTCGGTCACCGTTGCCCCTCCCCCTGCGTTCGACTGGGTGTGTGTGTGTGTGTCGGGTGAGCGGGGGTGTGGTGGAGGCGAGTACAGGCCGCCAGCCTGATACCCGCATGCTCGGTTCGTGTTCCCGCAGATTCTCCCACGGACGCTGCCGCCCTCCCCATGCAGCTGGCACAAATGGGCTCACTGCTGCAGCACAGGTGCGGCTCGCATGCCAAGGCCCAATGGCACCCCACTGGCAGCAGGACCCCCCACGTTCACTTGGCAGATTCTTAAGACGGTTAAATAATTATCGAGGCCTGTGCCGTCGGTGCCGCCCCACCTTGTCATCGCTTCTCTCTGCTGTTGTTGCAAAATGACAATAATGCTCACGTGGTCATTAAGCTCGTGCTGTAACTATGATAGGATCCTGCTAGGTGACTCAGTGGATACGTGACTCGCAATCGGAAGGTTACAAGCCCAAATCCTGGTTCTCGTTTTATCGGCCTATCATCCCTCCAGGGTCGTTAAATGTAGTACCGCTTTGTGAAGAAGTCGACATTGGTTGTCCAATGGACAGACGTCGCAATTTTTACCTGACTACCACCTGGCTGCCTTCCGGCACCTCTGACTCGTTCTTTCTTATCGAGAGTGCACACGGTGTGGAACATTACAAGGTGAAATAATTAATATTCAGTGAATGTGTACAGAGCCATGAATAAGCATTGCCACAAGGTGGCAGTGGCAGACTGCAAAGCGTGCTACATTCGTCTCATGGTTTTGGATGATTTTTCAACATTGAGATGTTTTGGCCAATACCAGTGACATTGTGTGTGTGGGTTTGGCCATGTCAGGCAACCCAGGGGAAACTCATGCTGAACAGGGGGAGATCATACAATCTCCACGTAGACGGGCACCCGAGTCAGCAATCAAACCCTGGGCTTGAGGCAAAGGTTTTACAACTGCCATTTAAGTATTGTGTGCATGCACATTTACATCCCTTTTGTAAATCTGCTGCTGGATGAGGGCCTCCCCACGCAGTGTGGGTCAATGGGCGCCACGTCATCAGACTTGAGCACGCTGCTCAGAGCGGGTTGGTGAAGACGGGAATCGTAGTACAGCACAGCATCTCGTGTTACGCTGCCCTCTGCTGATCACCTTCATACCGCAGCAGCCTATAACACCGGTTAGTTACGCTTGGTGGTTAACCATACAAGCACTCTCCAGGCTCAAAAACCTGCTTAGCCTCTGAGATCTGATGAGATCGGGTGCATTCTGGGTGATTTGCTCACAGGCCCATACTGTACCTGTGTCCTCTACCCCCACCACCAGGGTGGAGCCCCCTCCCCCATGCCAAGGGAAGAGTGTCAGCCCTCCCTCGGCTTCCTCACCTCTCTCGGACTCCATGAGCATCGGTGAGTGGGGTCCCCTGTGCCCCCCGCGTGCCCCCCCCCCTACCGTGTGACGGTGGTCGCGGCACCGGTCATGACTCCGCGCGGTGTGGAACCTCGTTCGCCTCTTCTAAGCTGAGATAAAAACACCAGATTCGTCCTGAACACTGCCTCACAGCAAAATGGTTCACTAAATACCCACATGAACAATGTTCATGCCAACAGAAGGCAACTTTTAATTGATAGTTGAGTCCTAAGTTCGGTGCATAGGTTTGTTCTGTACCTAAACCGTGGGCCCATTTCACGTTTGTGCGCACAAAAACCGTGGCCGATGTCACCCTTATTGACCTGGAATCAAACTTGATGCTTTGGGCTTCAGAGGCCAGCACGCTCGGTCATTGATAACATGTTCGTGGTTTTCTGCTGCCCCGAAGGTGAACTGCGGCAGGCATTGGTGGCGATGATGAACAGGAAGGATGAGCTGGAGGAGCAGTGCAGGTGAGCGCCACGTTGTCTTCTGCGCTCGGCCACGATCGGATTTCGTTGCCGGTTCTCGTGGTACGCGGCACACGAACAGCTCGGGGCACCGTCTTTGGCCCCGTCACTTGCTCTACTATTGACGTCATAATCATCTCGACGTGTAACTCATAATCATCTCAAAGCCGCACAGTTATCGCTCACTCTTGAAGAGAGAGAAGACAACTCAGAGGGGCGAGGAGGAACCAAAGACAAGTGAAAAAGCAGCCAAAATCGGCACCTACAATTTCCCAAACTCTGTGTTTCTATATGGTAATGTTTGCTCATGGGTAGGGAGGGAGTTTCACGAATGTGTGTTATCCACCAACCATGGCTACCCCCCACAGTGCTGGGTTACAGACCACGTTTTTAGAATCTGACACATTTGCATGTCTAAAACAGCAGTTTATATTTTGGGAAGATTTTTTCATGACCGAGGGGATTTTGGCAAAGAGCAGGGAGAGCGGGAAACGGATAGATAGGATGAGAGCAAGGGGGAGTGACTCGGCTTCCTTTAACCTTTGGCCCTGGTTCGTTGGCATGTAGTGTGGGGTTTGAGCAGTTGCGTGTGGGGTGTGGACGTGTGGCGTGTGTGAGGTGTGGGGATGTGGTGTGTGTGGCGTGGTGTGTGGAGTGTGTGGGGTGTGTGGCGTGTGGTGTGTGCGGTGTGTGGAGTTTGAGTGTTGGAGCTTGGATGTTTGCGTGAGTCATCACACCACCATCTCACTCGCTCTGTGCTTCTGACACTGGAGGACCACTGTAATTGAATCATAACTTCGCCGCCTATTCCCACGGCGTGTGCACTCAGCAGATCATTGATTCCACATTAAAGCACATAAAGGAGGATTGGGGAAAATGCAATTCTCGATCGTTTCGTCATGCCAATTACCGAGAACGTCACGTTTATTTGTACAAATGTTGGAATTACACAGAGGGGATGCTTTAAAGGATGTACGAAGAATGGATCTCACTTAGAAATGTAGAGATTAAAAGTTTTGTGCTTTTAAACCTAAGATTTACTGATAATAATGTTTAGCATTTACATGGAGCTCGCTCAAACACCTCAGCAACTTAAAACACCTTGGATCGCATCTCATTTCATACATTCAAAGGCACCCCAAGCGGTAGCTGTTCTGTGCAGTATGAAATGACTCAGAGATGGGCATTAGCCTGCCAGTAGGGGGCGATGATTGCTATGCTACGAATTAGAGCAGAGTTGGCACAAAATAAAGCGGGCGGTGCAAATCCGACTGTGTGTGAGTTAGTGGGTGGTGAGTGGGTGAGTGAGTGTGTTCTTGTCACGGTGTGGATGAGATGAAACCGTTAATGTCAGGTGGACCAAGTCCACAAATGGACAGGAATCAATTAGTAAAGTTTACAGGAACAGTAACCATGGTAGCAGTAACGATAGAAGAGTGACAAGGCGGCGACTGACTGCCAATAAGTGACTGAGGTGAATCACTGGGTGCTGGGCCATGAATCGCCCCAACTGCTTGACTCTGAATTCAAACCCGTGCAGTGAGGTGGGAAGTGGGTGCTCCACCCCAGATGTGACAGCAGAAGGATTCCAACTATAGCCGAATCTGTGCTCTGTAGCAGCAGCAATACATCCTCAGAGTTCAAGAATAAGGTCTTTGGAGCAGCATCTGTGCTCGCTGGTTGCCCCGTGCATAAATATCGTGGCGCTCGGGGGCATGAGTCCGTCGCGTAGGAGACATGATTGGGTTGATGTCGGTGAGCGTCAGCAGGAGGCCACGAAGTTGCGGGTGTACGTACGTTGAACTTCTTTCGTACCGTATGTAGCCAACCGTGCTAATCGGAGGTGTGGGCGGGGGGACGGGACCCACTGCCCTGCCCGGTTCCCCCACGCCACCGCTGCTATCTTTGGGTGAATTGTCAAGATCATCTTGTTTATTGAGACTCTTCTCCGGGAGAATCCCTTGAGATGGAACGTCTTTGTTACAAGGGTATCCGGGGTATTAACCGACCTGCACATAACAACACGTAATGACCACGGACACAAACACACACAAAGATTAACATCCCCTATATGACCTATAACAGACCATTGGGGCAAATGCTGTTCACGAGAACCGATGAATACCAACATGGCACACGAGGGAGTGGGTGGCCAGCACCACGCCCGACAGCCTTCGTCTCCCCAGTAAATCAGTTTAAACGCCGCACCTGGCACCTATTTTAAGCCTGAGTAGACCTGGAGGAGGCTGAGAACCGGTTCAAATATCCGCCAAAGTCATTGGTCGTGAATGGGAATTGGCGGTGGTAATGATGATGGTAATGACAAGTTATTTGGAGCATGATAGTGGTGATAATAGTGGGTGGTGATGTAGTGGTGATGATGATGATAGTGGTGATGGTGGTGACGACGACGACGATGGTGTGGACGACGATGATTATGGTGCAGATCTCTGCGGGCACTGCTCGAGAGCGAGATGGAGCACGCTGCATCGCTGCGACGCGAGGCCGAGGAGGGGCAGCGCCGTGCCGAGGAGAGCGAGGAGCGCCACTCTGCGCGCCTGCAGGCTCTCGCCAGGTGAGCGTGCGCTGTCTGGTGGGGGGGGGGGGGGGGTGGGGTCACGGAGCGGGGTGCGGAAGCCAGGGGAGGATGGACGAGATATCGGGTGGCGCCGTCAGGCTCCGGTGGAGGGTGTGGGGGAGGATGCGTCCTAAAAAGTGGTCCTTGTGTGTTTATGTTTTGCTAGAATTGCCCCAATTATCGCGATTCGTACGAAGCCACGTCCACTTCCAGATGGCGCTCGCTGTCTCCAGCGCACCGTGTGGCGGCGGCGACGGCAGGCGCCGGCTCCGTTACTGTGCGAGCAGTTGGGTTGCTGTGTGTGCCTGCTTCCCTAATGGGCGCCGCAAGCACCACGTAGTGCTTGCAGCTCGAACACGCGTATGTGTGTGTGGGTAGGTATGTGTATTTGTGAGTACAGTAGGGGGCACAGGTGGTGCATTGGCCAGTCAGTGGGTCCCATGACCTCCTGTCAGCGGGCGTTCGACACTTCACGTAGCCTTAACTTGCACATGGCCTGGCACAAGCACCGTGGTGACGTCACCACTACTTCGTGACGAATGGCGGTTGTTATTTGTGGGTGGGTACGTGTGTGTCTATGGGTAAGTGTGTGTGTGGGTATGTGTGAGAGTGTGCAAGGCTGCGTTGGCTGGGTCATGTAGCCCGCATACCCAGCCACCGCATGCCTAAACAGCTTTTGTTCGGCCGGATCGAGGGGGCTAAACGGGCGCGGCACGGGCTAGAGAAAAGATGGAGTGATGTGATACAGGAGGATGTGGAGCTGAGTGGACTTGCCGATGACCGGTACCAGCGGTATCAAGATCGGCCTCTGTGGAGGAAGCTTGTGAAGGACGCTACTGGGCAGTTGGAGGGAGTCGCCCTCCAACAACAACAGAGGGGGGAGGAGCGACGCTCACAACAACGAGTGGAGCGCCAGGTGGCTAAAGCACAGCAAGTTATCACAGTAGGCGGCACAGGTGTTGCATCAGCCAGTCGTCTCGGGCAGTCGACCAGTGGCATCTGGGTCTGCCGCCTGACCTCCTGCCAGCGGGCGTTCGACACTTCACGTGGCCTCAAGGTGCACATAGCCTGGCACAAGCGTCGTGGTGACGTCACCACCACTTAGTGGCGAATGGCGGTTGTTGTTGTTGGTGTGTGTTTGTGGGTAAGTGTGTTTTGTCTTTGTGTGTGGCGAGCGGTGGTGCAGTGGTTTGTGCGTTGTGCTACGAAGCCGGTTAAACCAAGTGCGATTCCCACCCACGACAAACAATGAATGACAAATATCTGAACCAGTCTTGTGCCTTTCCTAGGTCGACTCAACCATAACATAGATACCTGATGCGGCGTGTAAATATCAGTTCTGGGGAAACAAAGGCAGCCGGGCGTGGTGCTGTCCACACCACCCCCTTATAGGTGTGCCGTTCCAGGCTTCGTTGGTGCGCACAAACAGCACTTGCCTCAACAGCCTGTGTGGGCTACACGGGGGATCTTTGTTTGTGTGTGTGTTTTGGCGCGTGCCCCTCCAGGATGTGGAGCGTATTGCTCTGGGAGGTTGGCGTTGGGCGGCACGTGCCGCGGCTGCTGATGAGCGTATGATCATGGCGTCTCGTTGTGTTCCGCCCCGTGGCGTCTCGTGTTTTCATTTCAGCTTCTGGCTGATCCATTTATCACTTCCCTGACGCGGTGTTGTGATGGGGCTCATTTCATCGGCTTTTTCTCACACTCTGTTCTCAAGAATTGACCCAAAGTGGTACATTTCCAGTAATGTTTATGTTAAATTGTAAACACTTTCGGTAAATTGTCATTTGACTCGATTATTTCTACGTGGTACTGTGTCGAGTTAGGACCCATATCTCGCAGAGAGGGTCCTTGCTTATAATCAGCGGGTAGTTCACCATTGTTGCCTTGAGCAAGTCTGACTGCTGACAAGACGCTGAATGCCGCAACTGGTTCCAGAGTTTTGCTTGAATTAACGCGATGCTGTTGAAATTCTGCACCCGCAGAAAGCTGTGTGGTCGATGGGGAATGTGTGTAAAAAAATATTCATGTATATTGTTACGTGGAGAGACGGATATATGTGGGGGAGGCAAAGTGTCTGCTCATTTATTTTTTTGATGCAATAGAGTGGACCAGCCTCTTATATGTGGTTGTCATTGTCATATGAAGACTACACCCTGATGTATTTACAGCAGCACATGGCAACATTGGCTTGTGTGTGTGGTGTGGCATGTATATGGATGTGTGGCGTGTATATGGATGTGTGACGTGTGTGTGGCAGGTGTGTGGCGTGTATTTGGGTGTGTGGCACGTGTGTGTGTGTGGGCGAAGTGCTGGCCACCCGCCTTCTCGTGTACCATACCGGCCTTCATAGGTGCTCAATAACAGCACTTACCCCAAAAGTCTGTTAAAGCTATACGGGGTGTCTTTGTTTTTGTGTGTAAGCTGTGTGGCCGTAGTGGCCGCACACACGAGGGTAACGGTGTAAACGCCAAGCCGGCCCGTTGGTGGATCAGCGCTAGAGCTAGCTGGTCGCAATCATAGGGTCGTGAATTCAAGTCCAGTTTGGGGTGTGTTGACTCGGATCATTATCATAATCATTATCCCTCGGGGATTGATCAAGTGACCACCACTATGTGAGCAAGTAACGTCGGTTATCCTATGAATAGACTCGCCCCCACCATATGAATGTGGAATTTCTACCACTGGGTCTGCAGGGCTATGAATAGGAAATGAGAACCAATGCTTCTGCTCATTCGAGCAGGAAACTGCTCTGACTTTTGAAAATGAAGGGAATGACCCAGCGGGGCCGTGCGGGACCTGGCCGACTGCAGCTCATGGCAGCAAGGGCTCTGTCCTGTGTCTCACGTCCAGTGTGTGTGAGTGTGTACTCACCCTACGTGCTCAATGTGTGTGTGTGTGTGTGTTAATCTCACATGCTGCACGTGTGTGTGTATTAACCCTACGTGCTCCGTATGCTCGTGTACGTGTGTGTATCAACCGTGCATGCTCTGCGTGCCCCCAGGGAAAACGAGGTGCTAAAGGTGCAGTTGAAGAAGTACGTGGGTGCCGTGCAGATGCTGAGACGTGAAGCCGGGCACACGGGCACCGGTAAGCATCCCCGCGCCATACTGCGCCACAACACGCATTACCACACTATACCACAACACACATTACCACACTACACTGCATTGCTACACCGCACATTACCACAGCCCTACTCACCAGTGGGGCCTCCTACAGTAAAGGGGGACAGAGGGGTCGTGGGTCAGCGGGGCGGCAGGCTTGTTGTAGGATCCTGGTGAGACTGATTTAAATGTAAATTGTTTGTTGGTGCCAACAAAGTGGAAGTGTTTGTCTGTGCAAACCCACGCAGAATTACTCAGAGCACTTTGCATAACAAAAGCTCATTTCTTATTCTTCCAAACTAATCACATGATGAATAATTTAGCATCTTTTAACTGGCCAGGTTTCACTGCCCCTTTTTATCCATTTGTAAGTAAAGTGGAATGGGTAGCTAATGCAGACAATACAGACAAAGATCCCTCAAAGCCTCAACATGCTGTTGGGACAAGTGCTACCAGCGAGCAGACAACACACACCAACGTCCACAAACAATCGTGTGGATGACCGTACATCAGCGCACACAGTGGCACGTGCACGGGCAATCAGCACAACGCACACGTGAATCGCACACCAATTCGGAAAACGCCTTCTACCTGTGGGCATCGAGGTCGAAATCTCCCGCCTTGCCAGGGTATGGCGGCATGACAGCAAGAGGGTTAAATCTCCCGCCTTGCCAGGGTATGGCGGCATGACAGCAAGAGGGTTAAATCTCCCGCCTTGCCAGGGTATGGCGGCATGACAGCAAGGGGGTTAAATCTCCCGCCTTGCCAGGGTATGGCGGCATGACAGCAAGGGGGTTCAATTCCATCTGTATGGGGATCGATTGTTACTACCTCCCTCGCCTGCATGGGTTTCCCCCGGGTTCTCCGGTTTTCCTCCTGCGTATATATCGCACCTGCTCTGGCTGCTTTCCCACTTGTCTGTGGTTTTCCACGCCTCTTTATCATTATCTCTCTATCTCGGAGAGTGTGAATTAAAACTGTACATATTACATATTCTACATTGTAGATACAAAGAGAGTCCCTGTTTAACCTTTTCTATAAACTATCAGGTCAAGTATTGTTAGCCAGCACCTATTCAAGCCGGGAAACTCGGCACACCCGCAATGCTGATGTTTACATACTGCAATATGTACACATTTCAGGATGAGCTGACCTGGCGAAGGCCCTTTCTGGGTTAATTACTGTGGTCGGTCGTGAGCAGGAATAGAAATCGGGTCGCTGGGTTTGTAGCTGACCAACAACAAAAACAACCGCCATTCGCCACTAAGTAGCGGTGACGTCACCACGACGCTTGCGCCAGGCTATGTGCACCTTGAGGCCACTTGAAGTGTCTAACGCCCGCTGGCAGGAGGTCACGGGGCAGACCCAGGTGCCACACACCTACACACACATACACGTATTTACCCACAAACACACACACACCTACTCACACACAGATGTACCTACCAACACACACATCTACCCACACACAGACACACTGACACAGCCCCCCCCAGCGTGACACCACACACTTGGACAGGTGCTCACTGGTTGGACAGGCAGCAGCAGCATGGAGACAAATGCGCATCTGCGATGATAATTGTAATTATAGATTTTAAATGGAGCATCCTTCTCGACTTGTTATAGTTGTCAGTCAGCCTTGGCGGCTTCACAGCGGAAATCGCCGCACAGCGGTGGTTTAATTTGAGGTATTCTCACAAGGGCGATAATTTTACGCTTTCCCGCGGGAAGCCGGCGTGTGATGGGCGTGATGGGTTTTAAAATGGAAAAACGAGAGAGGAAACAAAGATTTAGCTTTTTCTGAGCACAGACGTGTCGGTTCACGAAGGGAGGGTGACAGCTTAAGTGTGCAGCCGAGAGTCAAGATGGCGCAGAGCTCGCGTGTGCAGATGCCGCCGCATCTCTGGGTCGCTGGGGCCGCCCTCGACTGCAGGCCACGGCGGTGTGGGAGGCTGGAGAAGGCCGCGTGTGTTCACGGGATAGTGCCGTCGGGCCAACGGCTACGTCCGTTGTTGCGCTATCTGCATGAATGGATGGGCGGTCGCTGCCGTTACCATCGCTGCTGCTGCTGCTGCTGCTGTGAGGGTTAACGATAAGAGCGGCAGATGCTCCACAATGTGAAGTCGCAGGAGCTCGCGGGTCCCAGAGAGAGAATTCCTTTTCGTTCATTAAATTAGCGAGCGAGCGGGATTAGCGCCCTCGGGCCGGGCCGATCTCTCGCCAAAATTTACGAAAAGCAATTCCCACAGAGCGGTGCGCAGGCGCTCCAGCCGGCGGGGCCGTGCGCGAGGAGACGGCGCGATGCACGAGATGCTTCGGAGCTGTCAGCGCCATTTAATGTGGTGCGCGGTTCCGCTAACCAGATTTACTGTATAAACTCTTGCTACGGTCAGTGGAACAAATTTATCTAAATCCTCCGGCCCCTTGATTCACTTTGTTACTTATTATTCGTCTTCAACACCAGAACAAATCCCTTGAGACGGAACATCCCATTGCAAGGTCGTCCAGAGTGTCAAGTCACACACGCACAGTGAACACGTGGTGATGCGCAACACACATTTTAAATAAATAACTTGTACAGCCGCTGCTGGACAAAGACCTCCCCATGCATTGCCGGTCATGAGGGTTATTTGACCGTACTTCACCATGCTGGTCAATGCCGGTTGGTGAATGGGGGCACCCAGGATCGGTTCAGATATCACTCACCGCCGATGTTAGCCACGGCCACAATTTGAGCTCGCCGGATTCATAGAGCAGCACCTCAACCGCTACCCCACAACTCCAACCAGAAAAATAAATTTTGCACAAATCACACGAGGGGTCACGGCTCCCCTACGGCGGGGTGGCTGGGGGCTGCGGCGGAACGAGCGGGCGGGTAAGCCCCCTCGCCTGCACCCGCACGGTCCAACTGCGTAGCCCCCACTTCTCCACGGCGGTTGAATAACGGCCGACACGGAGATACGAGATGTTCCCGACGTGGCGTCGTTTTCTCCGGTCCCCTAACCTCGCGCCCGCACGCCGCACACGGGCCGTGAACATTCGCACCCTTGGAGCATTTGTCACGGTTAGACCGCCCTAGCTGTGCCACGGGTGATTCATTAAAACTGTGACGTGGAGGCAATTTTACAGAATGCTGGTAATGCAAACCGAGCTAAAGATGCGTTTTTAATCACGCGCCAGGGTCGGGGGGTGGCGTGTGCGGGAGGAGGGGGACGCAGCGCGTTTGCTGTGCCAGCGGTTCTAGCATGATGATGATTCACTACCAAATCGAGCAGCGAGGACGCCGATGATGACACACGGCCCGCACAGCCTTCCTGTCTTTATTGCGGCAGAGCGGGGAGAATTAGCGCTGACCTTGCTAATACCATCAGCTTCGTCCCGGTGGGGCTCACAAGTGAAGCCCAGGGAGCGAGACTCTCCTTCATCCATGAGTAAAATCGTCGCTCTCCCGCCTCGGCAACAATGGCTGTTTCGCTTTTATGGCGTATTCTTATTCACGGGTCGGCTTTGCCTCCGCCTCTTAACGCGGCCTGACTCAGGCTTGAGCTTCTCAATTGGTTTCAGAGACGCACGAGCGGCTCAGCCGTGGCTCGGCTTGGCTCGCAGACATCCAGAATGGCGCTGGAAACATGCTGATAGCCGGCTCAAGTCTACCGTATGGCTGTGAGCTGGCTCCGCCAAGCCAGAATCACGGTCATTCACAATGCATGGAAGCATGGAGAGACACATGCTTGGAATTACATTGAGATACAGAAAGAGGAACCGTTAAGAGGAGTAAGCGGAGCTCGTTCAGAACGCGTTATGGCCAGAAGGGTTGATGAACAATGGTCAAGAATAACAATGGAAGTGGCAGCCAAGGAATGGAACGCGCATGAGAGTACATCCAACGAGGAGATGAAGCGACAAGATCTGTTCGTGTGCAGGTGCTTAGTGAATTCTCAAATCGCATGATGGCGAGAGGTGGCGGCAGTCTGAGGAGGTCTTCATCCAGCAATTGATTAATCATGGCTGATGATGATGATGTTGTACTTTCTTCACGAGCGTGTTTCAGATCCAATGCTTGTACAGGCTTCATGTCGTCCCATGTTAAACCAGGCCTCAAGGCGTGTCACAGGAGCTTTGTGGATAGCTTCCTGTGTGTGTCGAGGCTCTGAAATTCGAAATTGTAGGGGGGTGGGGGGGAGGGCAGTGGCTGTGATGGCTGGGACCCTCGCAGATTCGGAGCGGAGGCCTCTTCTCGGGAGGGGCTGTCAGAGAGCGCCTTTAGTCCTCGCTGCGTGACATCCAAGATTCGCACAGAGGATGGGCATCAGGGGGAGGCACCATGCCTGGCCGTGGCTGTCTTCTCACAACTGGCGTCGACATGACATGTTGTATTCGTTGGGTATCTACATCACATATCTACGTGACTTTACCGAAAGACCCAAAGGATATGAATCCCTGCAGTCATGAAAGCTTTAAGTCATGACATGTTGTGTTAAGCACTTGTATTTTTAGGCTGAGCCGACCTAGCGGGGGGTACCCTCGGCAGCTGCTAGGCCCTGCTGGCATTGAAGTGCGAGGCTCAAGTTAAAAGCGCCTTCGCGTGGTGCTTGAAACACTCGTTAGGGCAGGAAATGATTAGAGCGGTGGCTTTTTTTTATTCCTTTTTTCTGTCATTTTATCCCCCAGTGTTATCCTAATCGCACTCTTGGCATTAGAAAATTTTCCAGCAAAGAACTAATTTGGGATTGCGGCAACATTAGACCCTACGGTGGATCTGCTGGAGATTGTGTCCACGATACGACCTCCTTCGCATTGATCGGCGTGAATACCACGTACAAAATTATTATTTCTAATTAAGTGACCCTTCATCCATGCTCGAGGGCAGCAGCACCCTCTTGCCCGCCGTGCTCCAGCGTCACGTTCCTCACGGCGGAGACGCAGCAAGATTGCGTGCGTGATTTAATATGAAGATTAATCTAGTGAGGCGTTCCAGTTCCAGCTCTCCGGGCAACAGAGATGCACGTTGCATGGTATTCACATTGCATTGTTAGTCACGGAGTTTTTTTTAATCTCAGAGCTTGAATTTGCCAAGATAAAGGAAAAAACAACAGCAAATTGAATGCCTTTGATTTTGAGACCATCATGGACTCACCGCTCTGCGAGGACCCGGCGTAATCATCAACGGGCGGCCGCCTGGACTCGAAGCCAGAATCTCGGCGGTGCGCAGCTCGGTGCTTGGACCTCTGAGCCGCCCGGCCGCTGGCCTAGTTATCTCCCGCGTGCTATGGTTGTGCACGGTTGGCAAGGAATGGTGCGTTTGAGTGATAAGCGAGTGGGGCGAGCGCCGCCTCCCCCTCCAAATATCCGTTCCTCCACGTAAAGCATAAAATAGGTTCGTACACATCCCTTTGGCCACACGGACCTCCGAGGAGTCATTTCAGCAGCGTTTGGTTCAACATAAGTAAAAGTATGGACCGGTTTCAATATTTGGTGTCTCTTCAGCAGTCAGGCTCACATGAACCAATGCTGGTAAACTGCCATATGTTTAAAGGGAAGGACCCTCTATTAGATATGGTTTAATTAACGTAATGCGTAGGTTTTTGTGTTATGATTCATGATTACATTTTTAGGTGAGGCCACGCAATTATCACGTCAACTCTCTGTCGTGGGATCCTCCTACAATCCAAGAACCTGGAATGGATTTTATTCTGACTTCCTGCACCGCATCCTGAAGATGCCCAGCACAGTTCTGTGTGAAACGTCGTGCATCAAACCTCTGCTAAATTTCCACTTTGAGAGTTATTCTTCAACTCACCCGGTGACTGAGCTGAAACAACAACAGTAATAACCGGTGCATCATTAAGCACTTGACGCCACGTGCCCATTTAATGTACTTGGCTGTGTCGGGTGGTGGAGGGTCTTATTATACAAATTTGGCTGCATCGTTCATATCGAGGGAGCCTGGTTATCGCAGCGCATGTCTTCCTCAATTAACCCCATCCATGAGGGGTTTCCTCTTGGGAATCTACGCGTGACTTTTCCACTCACATCATTATTATTATTTCCATAATTGTTTACCCAGGAAAGCTTCACTGAATCTCAAGACTCTTTTTCAGGAGGGTCTTGCCAAGTTTGTCCCAGTAGGTGGTGATGACTGTGCTTAAGCCCCTATTTGCGTAATTTGCATGTCATTCTTCAGGGAGGAAGCCGGAGATCCCAGAAGAAACCAATGCAGAACCGGGGAGAATATTCAAACTGCGTATATTGAAAGTCGGGAATCGAACCAAGGACCTTTTTGCTTTGAGCCACCCTGTTGCCCATTATAAGAAATATTGAGAGATTCAACCTGATTGAGCTTCAGTGACTCACTTCACCTCCCTCCCTCTCTTTGCGACACCCACTCCGACCATGGCCTGCTCCCTGCACTAGGAGCAACCCTGCGGCTGGGGGAGGCAGACCCCTCGCCCCTGCCGGAGCCCCGCCCGCTGGTGGACACGGAGGAGCTGGCCAGCACCTACGAACGCAAGCTCATAGAGGTGAGAGGCCACGTCCGTCTGGCGAGAGTTGGCACAGAGTTGTCAAATGATCTGGTGGTTCCGGTGCCGCTGGTCACAAAAGCAAAGTTTGTGGGGAATAATCGCCATTTTCTATACTTTTGAGGCATAAGCAATTAGAAAATAACACTTACTACCCAGGAACAAAAATCGTGTTACATATGCAATCAGACCATGTCCTGGCCGCTCCCCTATATACATATATATCTATACCTTGAGATACTACTGCACCTCATCAGTATTCTTAGACTCTCAGTCATTGCATGCTGCATATCTCTCCATACTGTGTATGGCTGTCGTATTAGTATTATTTTTAGTGGTGCGGCAGTGTGAGTGTGCGTGTGTGCATACGGGCGCTGACGTATGTGGCCGTGCTCAGAACTGCCACTCGCTATTTCTGTTGGTCCCCGCGTGCCCACGCAAACGCGCCTAAGCCGTGGAAATTGCCATCCCGCACAAAGGTGGGGGGGGGGGGGGGAGTGGCGGCTTTACGCGCGATGTTGCTTGCAGGTCCGTTTATTTTAAATCTAATTAGCGTGCCGAGTGGGCCCGGCGATCGGCGAGCCCGCCTCGTCGCTGCATTGTGCAGCAGAAATGAACGTCGCGCTTATGCAGCCGAGCACGATTTACAGAGAGCGATGGGCAAATTACCCACGGTGCCCGCCCTGCGTGGTGCCGGCGTGGGCAGCGCACTTGGTGCCCGTAAATATTTGTGGCCCCTTGGCCGGCACGTGCCGTTTGTGGCTGTACTGCGGCTGTGCTGCAGCAGTGCTCGGACATACTGAATATGTTTTTGTATGATTAGCATCGTGTTCGTTTACCCAGGAAAGCCGAGCCAAGTTGCATGACCCATTTTTAGGTGGGTCTTGCCAACGTGTTTTTTGACAGTAGGTGCCGATGGTTGTTGTGCCTGATCCAAATTGAGTCACGTGCAGCTAATTTTCTAGCATTGGGACGTTTGGCCAATACCAGCTACATTGGGTGTTGTTGTTTTAGCTATGGGAGGAAACCAGACAACCTGGAGGAAACCCATGCGGATCAGGCAGAGAACATACAGTGGTGGGCAACCTGCAGCCTGTGGATCCTCCCACGGTGGCCTGGTCTCAGTGTCTTTTGCGTAATGCATGGAGTCATGATTCGTCACAAGCACGATTTCAAGCTTGTGGCCCACTGAGGTGAAGGAGGGCCGCCTATGTGCCCCACTAACTCGGCTAGGTTGCCCAGCACTGCCGAATTTAGACAGGAATCGAACCCTGTCCTTTCAGGAGTGAGTGTTAGCATTGCACAGCCAACCTGCCCCACCCATGAGAAGAAATGTTGGATGATTCCACCTGGTTGAGTTGCAGTGACTCACCTTCCTTCCTCCCTGTGAGGCACCCGTGCTGCTCCTTAATGATTGTTGCACTCACACAGCCCGGCACAATTTACACAGAATGATGATGGCACATTACCCACGGTGCCCGCCCTACTGGATGGCGGCCGGACAGCGACTTCACGCCCGTGAACATTTGCCGTGAATATTTAAAGCAGCTTGGAGATGACGAGATGCATTCTTGGCTTCACGATGACAAACGTAAAGAGGAGCACGTGGATCAGAGAATACACGCTGGTTGATGACGTCACATAAGCTGTGCGGAGAAGTGAGTGGGGCTTGGGCACGGAGCGTCACCGCCAGTGGGGACAATGGCCCATGGTCGAGACCGATAACGGAGCGGCAGCCAAATAATGCAATGCTCCCAAGAGGCCATCCACCGCGGAGATGGAGCGATGAAATAATTTCACGTGTAGGTACTGGATGGATGATTGCATCTTGAGATCCAGAGAGGTGGTGAGCGACGTGGGGAGGCATTCCTCCTGCAGTGGATTGATCATTGCTGATGATAATGATTTGAATCATTACCTTTAGGGTACCGGGTTGTTTGCAAGATACTCCAGTGAGCGCCGATATGTGGCCACATCCTGGGCTTCTGTGATGCCGTTGTGGAGGGTGGCGCAGTGGTAGAATGGTTTGATTATTGAGTCGTATGCCTTTCTTTTGCGGGGATCGAAACCAGCCTTCTTGCTGAGATGCGGGCATTACCACCACACTGCCATCCTGTACAAGCCACATTCAGCGATTCCCTACCCGACAGCTGCATTGGTGAGGAATATCACCATGGCAACCCTCGGGTTGGGCCCACAATGCATCTGTGGATGTAGTGAAGCAGCAGGGTGGGGGTGATGGAAAGGTATTGATGCAGGGTTGTGAAGTGAGTCATTGTTTATATATAAATCTTCATTAGAAACACAACACACATTTCCATTACCTCTCGACATTAATAAATATGTTGTGGCTGCGCAGCGCTAGCGAGGGTGATACTTTGGCTTTGCCGAGTGCCATCGGTGAATTCCCTCGGGGGCAATCTTCCCAAGACAGGCGGATGTGTGTGCGAGCGCCCGTGCGCGCGAGTCGCCGATCCCCGCTCCCCGCTGCACACGTTCACATGTACACATCACACACACGCGCAAACACTCACACAGTAAGACGTTGACATCAAAGGGAAATTGCCCAAAAATCCTGCGGCTGTGGCCTCGTTGAGTGCGCTCCGCGCTTCATGAGACATATTTTTTTCTTCTGGTGCGAATTGATATTCACGAAGTGGTCTCGCAATGATTCTCCCACCACCGGATGATCAAAGTGGACTCCGATTGTCCGGCCACAACGAAGTGCACTCACTCAGCCCCGCAGCTGTCAAACTCTCTGCAGCAGGTGGAGGCATGCGGATAAAATGATTTAAATTAGGACGATTAAGCGACGGGCATCGCACCGTTTCTCCTAATGCACGGGGTGAATGCCAGAGCAGGATGCTCGACACTCTACGCTGCACATGTATACGTACACACACTCTACACACGATACACTACATATACACGATGCACTCTGACCTCCTGGATGCTATTTTGACTTAATGGCGGTTGTCCCGATGATGCTCGACGCAGCCTCAAGCGAATGTTTGCCGTATTTCGTAGTCGTATTTAGTAGTGCTCGTGACTCGCACGACGAGGGTTAACCTGGCCACGCTCTGCATGGATACCCTGGTTGTAAGGATTGCTCCGCAACTCAGCGCAGGGCGAGCCGAAACAATAGCAATTGGCGTGCCGTTAAAATGGTTGTAACAGGCGACAGTTGAATTTGTTTGGCTATGTCGAGTGATGGAGGGTCTCGTGACAAAAATTCGTCCAAATTATTACATGGCCACAAGAAAAATATAACGTGTTTCTTGTGCAGTTGAGTGTTTCAGTCATCATCATCATCATCCTCTGCCACGATCTGTGCACTGCTGACAAAAGGTCTCCTCACGTCAACGCCGTCCCCCATACAAGTGCACACACGGGGGGGGGGGGGTGGTGGTGAGAGCGAGGGCAGGGCGCTCCCCATCACACCGTTACTCAGTCCGCGATGCGTTTAACATTCGTCTGCAGTTTGTTTAACGGTGACTGCATCGAGCGCCCCCCGAGTTCTTCTATGGCCCCCCTTTAACGAAGGTCATACGAGCAGGTTGTACGGACTTGCAGATCCGTAAATCGTCCATAATTACCGGTATAATAAACCCCGCAGGAGTGGAGCGGGCGGAGAGCCGGCGAGTCTCTCGGCCACGTTATGCGCCGATGGTTTTTGCCGGAAATGAATCCTGAATTGGGTGTAATGAGCCGCGCAATTAATTCATTATTTATCTTGTCGAACGCTCACCACCACCCCCCCCCCCCCCCCTTAGCTGTCAGTGTCTTCTCTTCCTCCGCGCGTGCATGCAAAGCTGAGTGGGCTGCTTGTCTCCTCGCCCCCGATGGTGATCCTGCGGGGAGGAGAGCGGGTGATTTTGTCGAGAGCACAGCGTAGGGCGCCATTGCTATTTCGAGACGTGTTTTGTTTTTAAACACAGCTGCCGACTGAGCACAGGGCCCCAAAAAGCCGTAGCCGTCAAGCAGCGAACAGCACTATCGCAGTTTGAGCGAAGCGTGGTCACGCATCGACGTTGAATCCGGTGGTGAGAGGTCCTCGGCCACCGGTGGTGGTGGTGAGGAGGAGGAGTGGGAGGGCGGTGGGGAGGGAGGAGGAATGGGCGAGGAATCATCGTCTTCCATTGCCTCGTTTGGCGGGGTTCATTAAGCAACCCGGGCGAGGAGGCAATGGAATGAAATTACTCATCCACGCATGCATGTTCATAAAGAAACGCGTGCGTGTGAATGAGCGGGCATGCGAGGTGCAGTAATTCAGCCTTCTTCCTCATCCCGCCGCCGACATGATGACAGCGTGGCCTTTCCGAGGAAAAAGGGAAATTACATTTTCTGCAGATTACGCGCGAGAGAGTGCAGGTCGGTGCTCGGCTCCCTGATGAGCATTAAGTTTGTCGTGTGGCTTCGAAAAAAATTCGGCCATCAGCTGTCTCGCCCCAACCCGTCCTCGTGCAGCCGCTTGCTCTCTAGCTCGCTCGCTCTCTCGCTCGCTCGCTCTCTCGCTCGCTCGAGGGTCTAAGACTGCTGCCGGTAGTGAGCACCGCAGGTGGGGATGGTGGAAGAGAGAGAGGAATGTTCCCTGCTTGCTTGCGGAGGTTCACTGTTCAAATCTGGCAGGCCGCCCCGGTTATTATTCCGAGTGTATTAACCAAAAAACCACGCGAAGCCCACTTTACAGTGGAGGTTAGAAATCCCGTGACGTAGGGCTCTGTTTGCTGGCGTCTGGGCCCAAATTTGAATTCTAGAATTAGCCCGCACGAATGCGATGCAAGTTTCTTATCGCGTATGAAACGCGCTGAGGTGCCCCGGCATAAGTGGGGGGGGGCGCATCACAAGCAAATCGTTATCACCCAAACAACAACTGACACCTCCAAATCAACTGGGTAACGTGGCCGAGGGGGCGGCCCAGGTAAAACAAATATACAGCGGATGCTCCTCTTTCGGCTTCCGTGGGCCTCCTCAGCAGCGACGATGAGTTGCTTGTCTACCGATCTCGCCACTTCTCAGCAGCGACGATGAGTTGCTTGTCTACCGATCTCGCCACTTCTCTCCTTGCAATCCCCTCTGTTCTACATCTCCGTTGACCAGTCCAGCGGAAAGACGAATGTAGGTTAGGCCCCCGTACCTGTGTTTGTTTGTGTCGCTTCGTATTTGCGATTGCATCTTGGGGTCGTGCATGTCACCGAACTGCTGACCCTCGACGAGTGAGAAGTGTCATGTACTTGAACCCGGCGTGCCATGTAAACAGACGTTCCGTTAATTATTTTGCTGCAAGCAGGGTCAATCGGCAGCCCAGATAATCCACGCGCGGGTGATCGAGGGTTAACTGTACCGTGTGAAGTGCGCATTGATATGTACAGACGGTACAGAAGCGTCCACGGTGCATTGCCTACAGAGAACAAAGTGTTGATGAATTTGGGACAGGAAGAGCGGCAGTCGTTTGTACACTTTTATTTTATCCAAGAAAATCTTTCACTTGCGCACTCCCTGGAGATGGAACATCTTGTTTGCAGCGGTGCACATAGGAGAAAGCATTCTGGGAAATTGCCCCTCTTTTGCCGTGAGGCTTATCTCCATAGCGGTTGATGTTTCCCTCTGTATTTCTGGGCAGCGGGAACCGTCGTGCCCTCGCAGCAAGAAGTGGCTGGGTTTGATTCCCTACTCGGCCACCGTTCTGCGAGCAGTGTGTATGTGCTGCCCAATTGGGCTCACGCACAGCAGCAACATTGCCCTTTGCTGTGCAAGCGAGACACTGCCGATGGAGAGTCGCCAGACAAGCTCAGTAATAACAAGAATATGTTTCGCATGCAACGAGCAATTTCGAGGATGCTCCTTGCTCTTTCCCTGCGCCGCAGCCAGGGGCTCGTTTTCTTTGATGAAGGCATCGGGCAATAACGCGCGGGCCGTGTAATGGGCCACGCGGCGGAAATGTCACGCGGGCGCGAGGGCGCGGGGGCGCGGGGGGCCACGGCGACCTCTGCGCACATTGCCCCTCCCTGCTTTCCCCGCGCGACCCCGGCAACCCCGGCAACCCAGCGCTTTATCTGGCAGCGGAACACCTGTCACAACACGTGCTCTCGGCTGGCCCGGCGCAAGCGGCGTATCGATTAGGAGGGAGAGAGCGAGGGGGGGGGGAACGGGAGGGGGCCAAAGAGAGGAGAAGAGCAGCGTCGAGAGACAAAGCTAGAGAGAAAGAGACGAAGAGGGGAGCATGAGGAGGGTGCAAGGGAGTGCGGAGAGTGAACAGAGGTGGATCTATACATTTCCAGGGGGGTGGCAGTCCAAAAATGTTGAGCTTTCAAATAGGGTCCCTTACCACTGGAAGGGAAGGGAATGAGTGGGAGGAAGATGGAACAGATACGCTGAAGGATTGTGGGAGGGGTGGAGGGAAGGAGGGAGAGGAGGGCTTGGAGCTGGCAGCGATGACGACGACCTAGAGATGCCTTCCGGGCCTCATGGGGGCCGGCCAATTCAGAGCCGCCTCCCACACATGGCCGCCACCTTTGCGGCGGCGGCCATCACCGAAGGATCAACCCGGCCTGAGCCCCTCGCGGGATTCCCGGGGTTTTATTCAATTTCCGCCGCTGTCATTATTCTGGTTTCATTCGTCCTTTGGATCACGCGTGCACGCGGGTAATGATCGGGCCGAATTCCTGTCGCAAGACCCTGCACCACCCGACAGCCAAACTAAATCCAGGAAATCATTCTGGATTTTTGCAGCCAATGTTGCGATTCATATTCGATTGTTGAGTTAGGCCACATGATCATCTTGTCAAATCTGTGTCGTGGGATCCTCCTAAAATCCGGGAACTCTAAATGGGTCTTATACTGATTCCCTAGATCTTGTCCTAAAGATGCCTGGTGCAGTTTCAAGCGAAATATCGTTTATCAAATAATTACTGCTAAGTTCGGTTGTGAGGATTGGTTCTGTAACTCACCGGAGAGCGAGCCGAAAAGATCACAATAACAATAACAAACGGCGCGTCGTTAAATGCTAGTGCACAGGATGATTTAATTGGTTTGGCTGTCAGGTGGCCAGGTTATTACGTGGCCTAACCCAGAAATCAATTATGAATCATCACGTTGGCTGCGATAACACCAATGCATTAGGATGGCAGGTGTGATGAAGAGGAGGAGGAGGATGACGATGATGATGACGAGGACGAGGCAGACCTCTGAATGGCAGTTGCGGGGCACGGCAAGCGGCCGTGCAGCCATGGGAGGTGCAGTGAGACAGACGTCGTTTAAACGTCGGAGTGAGGCACGCGAGGGAAAGGGCCCGGCGCTTCCTCGACGCTCCTCCCTCCGCGCTGCGAACGCGGCTGCTCACGCCCCACGTATAAAGCACAGCGCTCGATTGTGACGGCGCACACAAAGGTGTCTTTCTTCCTTTCTTTCATCGGAGGAGAATAATGGCCTCCCAAGGGCACGGGTCGGAGAGAAACCGCGTCGGCGCCGTTGGCGCGCGCGGTTGTGTGTGTTTGTGTGCGGCGGTAGAGGGGTGCGATTGTGCATGCACGGTGCGCCTCGGGGCATGAGGTACGCACCTTGTCTCACTTCCAGGGTCTTCCTGAAGATGCTTGATGGAGGAGTCAAACGTCGTGCATTTAATTACTGCTGAAATTTGGTTATGAGAGTTGTTCTTCAATTGACCAGTGAGTGACTGAAACGATAATATTGCCCAGAATATTGAAATATCTCTAAAGACCAATGCATGAATGAAAAAGTAATAAAAAACTGCACTCACATGTCCAGATCATAAGAGTAAAAGCTGATATTGACAATAACGACAACTTCATTCCCACTGTAGATAAAATTCAGATAAAAGGCAGTAATAATAATTATATAATGTAGGTAACATCCAATCAGGCTACAGGAGAAGCCAATGAATAACAATGGATGTTCAAGCCAGATGTAAATCTGCTGCCAGTCACCATTCCTGATGTGGGCAGGGACAGGAGCCTTCCATCGCCTTGCTGCTTAGCAACAGAATGTGCGGTCACCTCTTTTGGATTGGATAACTGCTTTTACACGCACGACAATTCAATTTGAATGGCCATGTCGGGTGGTGGAGGGTCTTGACAACCTTACTCGAAAATCAACGATGGCTCGTAATAATGGCCGCGAATACCTACATTGTGTTAAATCTCTATGTGTATTTGTGTCTTTGTCACCGTGTGTATGCATGTGTGTGAGTTTGATGTTGGGAAGCAGCAATGTTGCAGTGACCCGAGTTTGAATCCTGCTCACGACCAGCATCACTAGATGAAAATCTGTACCTTCCGTAGGTCCTACTCAGCCCTTAAATGAGTACCTGGTGCAGTGTGTAAATATCAACACTGGGGAGACAAAGGCAGCAGGGCATGGTCCCGGCCATACCACCCACTCATGCACTGTGCTGGCCTTCGTAGATGCTCGCTTGTCCCAACAGTCTGTTGAGGCCGTTTGTCCTGTGCACAGGAACTGCATTGAAACAATGTATACACACACACACCACACTGCGTGTTTATACAGCATGTGTAAACGCGATGGGATTTCAAGTCTCTGCATTGAACTCCTCCGGCAGGCAAGGCTGCGCTGGCTGGGTCTTGTAGCCCGCATGCCCAGCCACTGCATACCCAAGCAGCTTCTGTTTGGCCACATGGGCTGGAGAGGAGATGGACTGAAGCGGTACGGGAGAATGTGGAGCTGAGTGGACTTGCCGATGGCTGGTACCAGCGGTGTCAAGATCGGCCTCTTTGGAGGAGGCTCGTGAAGGATGCTTGCTACTGGGCAGTTGGAAGGCAGTCACCCTCCACACCCTCCAGTAACAACAGAGGGCAGAGGAGTGACGCTCACAACAATGAGTGGAGCGGCGGGTAGCTAAAATACAGCAAGTTGGCACAGTAGGGGGTACAGCTGGTGCATCTACCGATCATCTCAGTCAGCCAACCCATAGCACATGTTGGGCCTGTCCCGATACCTGCTGTCAGCGAGCCTTCGACACTTCACATGGCCTCAAAGGGCACCCGGCCTGGCACAGGCGCCGTGGTGGCGTCACCCACCGTCCGTTAGTGGCGAATGGCAGGTATTGGTATTGGTGTGCATGTGCGTGCGTGTGTGCGTGCGTGTGTATGCATTCATGTATATGTATGTGTGCATATGTGTGCAGTGACAATTATCTGACCTGGTCCTAAGCCTCCCCTAGGTCGGCTCAGCCTCAAATGAGTGCCTTGTGTGGTGTGTCAATATCGCCACTGGGGAGACCGGCGGATGGGCATGGTGTTGGCCACCTACCTCACCATGTGCTGTGCCGGCCTTCATAGGTGCTCGCTAACAATACTTGCCCCTGCAGTCTGTTAAGGCTATACGGGATATCTTTCTTTTTGCCTTGTGTGTGTGCATATTCCCACTTGTCAGGTGGCAGAGATGCATGGGGAGCTGATGGAGTTTAACGAGCGTCTGCACCGCAGCCTCATGGGGAAGGACGCGCTCATCCGCCAGATGAGGCAGGAGCTGGTGGAGCTGCGTGGGCCCGTGGGTGTAACACCACACGACTCACACTCACGGCACGGAGTGTCGCACTGCTCCTAGGCTCACACTCCCGGCACGGAGTGTCACACCCTCCTAGCCTCACACTCCCCGCACGGAGTGTCACACCGCTCCTAGCCTCACACTCCCCGCACGGAGCGTCACACCGCTCCTAGGCTCACACTCCCCGCACGGAGCGTCACACCGCTCCTAGGCTCACATTCCCGGCACGGAGTGTCACACCGCTCCTAGCCTCACACTCCCCGCACGGAGCGTCACACCGCTCCTAGCCTCACACTCCCCGCACGGAGCGTCACACCGCGCCTAGGCTCACACTCCCGGCACGGAGTGTCACACCGCTCCTAGCCTCACACTCCCCGCATGGAGCGTCGCACCGCTCCTAGGCTCACACTCCCGGCACGGAGTGTCACACCCTCCTAGCCTCACACTCCCCGCACGGAGTGTCACACCGCTCCTAGCCTCACACTCCCCGCACGGAGTGTCACACCGCTCCTAGCCTCACACTCCCCGCACAGAGCGTCACACCGCTTCTAGCCTCACACTCCCCGCACGGAGCGTCACACCGCTCCTAGGCTCACACGCATGGCACGGAGCGTCACACCGCTCCTAGCCTCACACTCCCGGAGCGTCACACCACTCCTAGCCTCACACTCCCCGCACGGAGCATCACACCGCTCCTAGCTTCACACTCCCCGCACGGAGCGTCACACCGCTCCTAGCGCCCATGGCGTGGGGAAGCTCACGTCCAGCAGTTGATTGAAAAAAAGTACCGGCACACGGCATGGTAGGGTCACCACCTGTGGGAGAATCTGCGGCTGCCGTGTTTTAGTGCCAGGGATTGATATTTACAGTGGATCCGGTGCTGGTGACTGCATTGAACTTTATTGCTGTGACCCGCATAGCGGCGTTGATGTAGACCTAGGCCGACTGAGCCACGTGTCCGGGCTTGATCCTCGGTGGAAAAGGTGGCGACCCCACAGCATGCGCTAGCCACGTGTGCCGTACGCGCATCCGGCGCCGTGTCCGCGCTGCTGGGCCGGTGGCAGCAAGGGGACTGGCGGCAGCACCACCGTTGCCGCCCGAGGCGAATTGCCCGGAATACGTCCTCGCTTCCGCTCGCCTATCCAGCTAAACATCACGCTAGGTTTGCAGGAATAGTGCGCGCCGCCCGACCGCAAGATTAGCATTCCGCAAGGCGCCTCGCCGCATTTATTTTTGTTCTCTGCCGGTGGATTAACCCTTGACAGGCGCCGGCCATGGCGCTGCTTGTTTACTGTTAGCCACGCGTTTGTGCGACTTCAGGCGGGCGGGCGTTTGCATGTGAAGGCCATGAACGAAAGACCTCGTTGATCCCAACTCTTAAGTGGGAAATCAGCGCCGAGGACGGAGGGTACGTGCTGAAGGGCTAGGAGAGCTCCAGCAACACAACACAATAATTAATCGGCTTGTTTCCCTGGGAAAGCCTCACCGAGTCTCAAGTCTCTTTTTCAAGAAGGTCCTGCCATTTTTCAGCATTGGGATGATTGTTAGGGAGGAAACCGGAGAATCTGGAGGAAACCCATGCAGAACGAGGGGAGAACATACAACCTCCACCCGAGTCAGGAATGGAATCCAGGCACTTGTTTCTGTGAGACAACGGTACCGCCTCCCTGGTAATTGAAGAAAAGTGCCTCTCGCGAGAGTGTAAGAAGAGGCACGTGAGGAGGCGTGGGCGGTGTGAGCGGGGAGGGAAGGGTGGCGCAGAGGGTGGACATGCAAGGTCCTCTGACGAGGTTCGTGCGGGATCAGGCGGCTCCGCTCCGAGCCCGGCTTCCGCTCCGAGCCCGGCTTCCGCCTGAAGGTGCCGTGTGCCTCTCTCGGCTCCTGGAGTTTGATGCTGTCCATCCTGGGTGATGCGTTGGGATGGTTGACTCAGCCCATCATCCTTCCGGGTGAATAAAATTGCTACCACTTTGTAGAGAAGTAAAGAGTGCTTTTCCTATGGAGAGACTCTTCCCTGCCATAGGAATGTGGAATTTCCATCACTGATTCTGTTGGGCTGTAAACAGTAGACGTGCGCAGATGGCTCGATTCTCATTTGTGCAGAAAGTTGCCCTGGCTTGCCGGGTTTGGTTTGTGATTTGCGTGGCAATTGGTGTCTGTGTCTTCTCACAGCTTCCCGGTGACCTCAGCCAATCATCCGAAGACCCCAGCCTCTCGGACTTTGACAGGTGTGCACAGAAAGGAATTACGGCCCACCTGGTCAACAAACACTGCATGATGTCCCTATACACCTCACTGGTGTGCGTGCGTGTCGGGTATGCGGCCTCTTACAGAGCCGTGGCAGAGCGGTTAGTGCACCGTGCTACAAACCCCACAACGCGAGTTCGATTCCCAGCCGAACATCTGTGACGTGAATCTGAACTCGTCTTGAGCCTCCCCTAGGTGGACCCAGCCTTAAATGTGTACCTGGTGCAGCGTGTTAACATCGGTTATGGAGAGCAGTGCTGGCCACATTGCCTCTTCGTGCGCCGTGCCGGCCTTCATGGGTGCTCGCGAATAGCACGTGGCCAAACAGTCGACATAGACCTTATGTCCTCCCTGCTGGGGAGTCTCGGGGTCAGCATGCCCCCCAATGGGTCAGCCTGCACGGGTTTAGCAGTTTGAACCCCCCGGAGGTCACCCATGCTGCAGGTGCTTCCTGTGTGCATGGTGCCGGATTTCTCCTCTGTGTTAAACACCTGGGGACGCTGTTTTCAACACAGTGGGGACACTGTGTCTAAGCACCACGGCCCAAACAATTACAAGCCTCAAACACATCCACCCCTTCATTCCTGTCCTGTGTAGTACCATGCTGGGGGTTCAGGGTTAGGCCTGAGCCGTCATTCTCCAGGCCGCCATTAAAATTCACGACCTTTGCAGTGCGACCAACTACCGCGCTCTGCTCAACGTCTGGATCCCTTCGGTGTTTCTACGCAAAAAGGCGACAGACACACACCACGTGTACCAGGCAAGTGACACACGCAACAACAGCAGCCACTGGTGACATCACCACAACACACACATGCACGCCACATGTACCAGGCACGTGACACACACAACAACAACAGCCACTGGTGACATCACCACAACACACACATGCACGCCACGTGTACCAGGCAAGTAGCAGACACCACAACAACAACAGCCGCCATTTGCCACTAAGTGGCGGTGACGTCACCACCACAGCACACACACACCACGGGAACCATGGCAAGTGGTTCACACCACACCCCACACACACCGTGGACGTACGCACATACTGCGTACAGACAGAGCAGTATAAAGAGAAGTGTTGTGACCTGCAGTGTTGTGGGTGGGTGAGTGGATGAATGAGGGGGTGAGTGGATAAGTGTGAGTGTATGTCGGGTGTGTATTTTCTCTCCCTGCTCTGCATGGGCTTAATCTGCGTTCTCCAGTTTCCGACCATAGATAAAATAACCATGCAATGGAACCGATATTTCGATTTAAAGCTTTTGTGACTGCAGGGATTCATCTTCTTGGTTCTTTCGGTAAAGTCAAGTAGAAGGGAAGTAATAAAATAATAAAATAAAACATAATAAAATAATTCTCACGACGTTTCGACCACAACGCCTGGGGCGTGTCATTCAGACTTTGCCTTCTCGACAGACCTGTTTCTTCACCTGGGGACGGCTGCTTGCGTTGTGGCCGAAACGTCGTGAGAATTTTATTATGTTTTATTTTTATTATTTTATTACTTCCCTTCTACGTGACTTTACCGAAAGAACCAAGAAGATGTAACCGATATTGGCTAAAAACATCCAATATAAAAAAAATTACCTGCAAATTACTCAGTTGGGGTCACACACAGCAGCAGCAGCAGCATCGCCCCTACTGAGACAAACTTGGCAGGACCCTCCTGACCAAGAGTCTTGAGGCTCGGCTCGGCTTTGCCGGGTGAACGAGCGCGGTGGTAATAACAAGAGGCGTAGAAGGTGGGCAGCAAGGGGCCACCTATTTTGGGTTCAATACGTTTGATTATTTACTGCTTTCATCCAAAGGAGGGTAAACACCCCGGAACTAAATTTGACTCGGAACTCGGCTGCAAATTTTGACTGTGATTGGATTTGACGTAAATAGTGGTTTGATTGGCATCAGAGGCAAACTGGAAATAGAAAGAGATCCAAATATAATCGCCTGATTTTGTAATAAAAAATAATGAGAGTGACGACTCTAATCACTCGACCCCAACGTGATGAATCTGGCTGTGCAGGGTTATTATCCCGAGGTTCGTGTCGACCCCCCCCCACTCCTCCGCACGCCCCCCACTCTCCCCCACGTTAATTTTAGCTTTGCCTGCTCAGCGCGGTCGCCATTTGAAATACATTTTGTTTATTTATTATTAAGACGTCTGAATCTGTTGGATTTTTATAGTAGTCGGCCGAAGATATTGTTAACCCTGTACCGAACGCTCATGCCTGTGCATCTTAAAGTGGCCCACACTGTGTGCTGATTCAACTCGGTGTGGGCATGTCATCATAGCACGGTGTGTCATCTTCATGCCATCATCGTCACAGTGAGACCCTTGACACCATCATCGTTGTGAAACCATAATGTCTGGGACGTCTGTGCGTGAGTCTGTGAGTCTGAGCATGAACCCTGAACCGGGATGATGGTGCCATGCGAACCATTTCCTCGTCCCTGCTTGGCACCAGCTGCTGTAAATTCCGCTCCCTCGCGATGGCGACGAGAGTCTGCCAATCCCCCCCCCGCCGCCACGCAGACGACCAATGAGATTGCGCCATCTCATTGTGAATCCAACGACCGGCACGTTTGTTAGACTCTGTGCAAGGCCACACGGCTCGCTCGAAGGCACCAACCACGTCCGTCACCACGGATCCTTTCTCGCGCCGTCGTTCCGCGTTGCGTCACAAATTATCCAGCACCAAGGAGCACCAAGGAGGTGGGGCGAGGGTGGGGAGGTGGTGTGCGGGAGGTGATTGGGTGTCGCACCAGGGAGAGGGCAGAGGGCACGACCGCACGGGGTGGCGCAATGCCACGCGGTAGCACGGTCACCGTCGCCACGCGCCCCGTGTGAGCCACGGACGGCCCCACACTCGGCGGCCGTGATAGTGCACGTCATGTGTGTGTGTGTTGGTGCGTGTGATGATGGACGCTATTTTATGGAGGTCTGGTGATGGTGTGAGATGCCATGAGTCCGTATCGCCGTGTGAGTGTGCGCGAGCCCCCTTCTGCATCTCCTGATGGGGGTTGGGGGGGTGGCTACGGCAATCTGTCTCCCAGTGACTCCGCTGGGATGGGTTTGGCGTTTGAGCAATTGGAGGCTGCTGCTGCTGTGTGGAGGGGTGAAATTGCTCTGGATGAGCCTGTGTCACGTCAGCAGCTAGACGTGATGAAGAGGCGCTGCTCGACAGAGAGGCAGCAGTGTATGTGTACGCGTGCGTCCACACGTCTCCGTGCTCGCACTTCTACGTCCGGAGATGTGGGCTTGTCTGTGTTGACGTGTGCGTATTTGTGTTTCGTCTTGCGTTTTTACAATGTGTGTGCAGGTGTGTGTGCGCGCAAATGAAAGATTGCTTGTGGGAAGCGGTGGCACAATGTTTAGCACACTGCACTACGAACCCAGTGACCTGAGTTGAGATATTTGGCACAGCCTTCAATAAGGACCTGGTGCAGTGTGTATACATCACCACTGGTTAGGTAATGGTGCCCGAGCTTTTTGCTGGACACGTGTCTCCTCATGTGCCGTGCCGGCCTTCTTAGGTGCTCGCTAACAGCACTTGCCCCAAATGCCTGTTAAGGCTATAAGGGGGAACTTTGTCTTTGTGATGTGGGTGACTTGTGAGCCTGTAGGGAATCTCTCCCTGTCCGCCCATCCAGATGGAGTGAGCTTGGGTGTGAGTCGCGCTACAGTCGATCAATCCCCAGGACCTAATGAAATCTCTACGCTTGACCTTGGCTTGTGCGACTGCGCTGGGACCGATGCCCCTGAGCTAAACCATACCTCCTCTCCACGCACATCCACATGCGTGTTCCTGTGTGTGTTTGTGCAAGCGGGTGTGGGGAGTGGTCGCACAGTGGTTAACGCACTGCACTACGAACCCGTGTTGCGGCGTACTCCGTGCGCTCTAACGGGCGCTGCGTGTGTGTGACGCCTAACCGTGCCAGACAGGCCGGCAGCTGTTTCCCACCGTGGCACAGCATGCGCTCGTGTGTGTGCTGGGACGGGAGGACACGGGGGGCGTTGATGCGCTCCCCCGCGCGCCGTGGCGAGATCGTCGACATGGCCGAACTGCAGCGCGTGGCAGAGGTTCATGGTTCGATTCCCGCGGCCACCCTGGTTAATCTGCCGGCGTAACAACCATAGTAACACCGCGTGCCGTCGTCTTCACAGTGAACATTAAAGATCCCTGAACGTCTTTCACAACAACAGGCCATGGGGTGCCTACATCATGTTTCAAATATGCCAAGTTAAAATGTTGCACCACAATTTACTCAAATAGGATTGCCCACTGCAGGAATAATCTCCCCTGTTTCGACAGGCTGATGTCCCAGTTCACCCTGCAGCATCCTGAGCTGCAGTTTCATTCAGTCGCTGCTATATGAGGCCTTGCTTTGCTGACTACACCCGCTCCTTGTTCTCGTTGCCTGTACCGTGTCCGTGACACATACCGGACATTCAGGTTTATTTTTTTAAGCCAGAGGTGAGAACTCAAAAGTTCAGGATAAGTCTCACTGGCAATAATGAGCTGGCTGTGCAGCTATGAGAGATGAGCAAGTTGAGTTTTGGGTTGTGTTGACCTTTAATGACCTCCATTGCGAGAATCAGCTGTCCCAGGCACCAAGGACCCCAGGGGTGAACGTGCTCTTATTTGAACGTTTCCGCCTTTTCCTTCCAAGCAGTTAATTAACATCGCAAACGAGCTTTCATGTTCCTTCATGTGCGAGGTGATGCCTGACGGCGCCTGATTATATTATCGCCCGCCTGCCCTGCTGCACTCCCCTCTCCCGTACACACGATGCCCGGGCTGCCTGCCCGGGGCCTCGGCTTCACTGCACCCCTGCATGTGTGACGGATGGATTCACGAGGCGCCGAGCGAGGCCTCTGTTTAAGTCAACCCGCCCACACCCAGCCAAACTCCGTCCGTGCACGGTGGGCGCTGCCGTGGAGGCGCTGCACATTCACCTGCCAGCGCGCATCCCCGTCTGCTGGTGCGTCAGGATAATTCCTTATAAACTACATCTTACAGCCATTTATTTTTGACAGCTGCCTCCTCTGCTGCGTAGGTGTCGGTGGTTTTTGCTCGTTTTGCTGAATGGATAATGGCGTCTTAAATGGTCGAGCGCCACCTTGCTGGTGCCGCTCGTGCCACGGGCCACTCTTTGGGCCGGTGGCGCGTAGGCAGCCACGCGCTGCTCTCGCCCCGAGTCTCCCCCCCCACGGTGCTCACTGTGACCAGGAGGCCTCATCTCCCTTCCCCTATGCTCCCATCATCTCCAGGAGTAGGAACAGCCTGTACCGACCATAATAATGCCCTCTCTTTACCCAGGAACGCCTCTCCGAGTATTTTTTAAAGAGGATCCCGTTTTCGGGTGTTTGGGTGATGATGTGCAGGCGGTGGGTCTCTGTAGCCTGTGTTTGACATCTCACTTACGGCCACATCAAAGGCTCGGTTCGGGGATAATGAGAGTCGTGGAGGCAGAGCAGCGGTACGGCTGCCCAGCCGGGCGCCGAGCGAGGGCATGAGGGCGCTCCGTGCACGCGTGAACGTGTGGGTATGGGGGAGCGGTGGCACAGTGGTTAGTGCTGCACAGCACTACTAACCCGGTTCCCGTTCACGACCAATAACGGTGGTGAATATTTTAACCGGTCCCGGGCCTCCCATACGTCGAGCGCCTGATACGGTGTGGAAACTTGGATGCGAGGGAGACAAAGGCGGATGCGCCCCCTTCGCCACATTGACCTTCTTAGGATCCTCCGTGTAGCCC